GGAAATGGTTCTACATAAATAGCATCACTCTCACCTATTAACAATACACCATGTGATAGTCTCTGCTAGGCTGCTGGCTACTCCTCTTCAGCAACCCGCTGTGCCTCAGTCACCTCGTCCTCTGGGCTAGGCTTTTTACATGAAATGTAACACCATCAAAAAGATATCAACGCTCTCAACTTGTATTGTGTCAGGCATACTACATGAAGGTTTTTATGCCCGAAACGCTTTGCGTAATAGTGGCTTTAGGCATTGTATGTACTAGCCCTAACTATAAATCCATCACTCTCTGTAAAATCTCTTTTATGTATGTACGTTACCTAAATAAACATTTTTATTTTGTTTTTATTTTTTGAATCCATTCACCTCTTAAGCATATATTGTTGCCCTCACAACTATCTGTATCTCATCCGGAAGATCATGCTGGGACAGACATGGTTTATGCCCTGGGCACTGTAGCACGCAGGGTATCCCAGGCGGTCGTTTAGGTCCCTGGGACAGGCATGGTTTATGCCCTGGGCACTGTAGCACGCAGGGTATCCCAGACGGTCGTTTAGGTCCCTGGGACAGGCATGGTTTATGCCCTGGGCACTGTAGCTCGCAGGGTCTCCCAGACGGTCGTTTAGGTCCCTGGGACAGGCATGGTTTATGCCCTGGGCAGGTGGCACAGCCGGCAAAACAATCTATAAGAATGTCTGTCTGTCTGTGCGAGGATGAAGACGAGACGTTTGGGGCTAGCCTCATTACACTTCACTGAATTAACGCATTTTTATCAGCAGAGTCTCATGGGATCGAGGTCGGCCCAGTGCCACCATGAGGACGGCACCGTCCCAATCCCCTTCCTTCACGAAATTTGCAGATGTGAAAGGTTCCGTGGCGAGTCCAAAGACATTAGTGTCAATTTAAATAATTGCAAATTCAGTTATTGATTTTCAAAACATAAGTTCAGTTGACAGATTTACATTCCTGGCACCAATTTTTAGTTACATGGATAGAACGGGTGTGGAGGCAGGGAGAGAGGAGATGGGAAAAAATAGCATATGTGAACCAGGAAGGATTTTATGGGGGGGGAAGGATGTGTGTGTGCAGGGAGGAAGGAGATGGGGGGAAGATAGCAAGTGTGAACGGGGAAGAATTAAATGGGGAAAAGGATGTGTGTGTGTGTGTGTGTTCTGGGAAGAAATGGGGAGTGTTTGTGAGAGAATATGTGGAGGGTCTATGGAGCAGAGAGGGAGAGGATGCATGCGGAGAATGTAGATGGTGTGAAGATGTTTACTGAGATGAAGACATTTACAGAGATTGAACATCGTTACAGCGAAGGAGGAGACAGGAAGGGTGCGAATGGAGAGAGACAGGGAGGGTAATTTCAGGGGAAGATGGGAAGGGTGTGTAGGGGAGACCTAGACACCAAATAGATCGAACACTGCCGGTTTCAACTTTCAAGATTTATTGAGCAAAGTACAGCTATAAGCACGTCGGTGTCGGCCACCATTTAGGTGCCCAGGGTCGACCAAGCACCGGATCTGCACGGGTTCCTTGTCGTCAAGGACTACACAGACACTGGGTTGACTCGGATATCAGGTCGACACGGGCCCCCGGGTCGACCGAAGCAGCGAAGCGACCCGGGTGGCCTCTCACACGGGCCACGCCGATATTCTCCTCTAGTTTTAAATAATACAAGAGCCGTAATTCCCATCAACAATACAAATAAGATAATATTGTTGAAACAGTGACGCCGGAGAGTGCCCGCTGGTCGATCATGTCCGCCTTGTATTTACACACCACATTGCCGTTAATAATATACATTTATTAACTGACAAGAGCTACGATCTTGTCCCAGGTACAGAGTACTGTGTCAATATCTTATACCAGGTACAAGATGTTATACCAGGGGGGGGGGTACCCCTTGTACGAGGGGGGCCTGACGGCTGAGTGGACAACGATCTTGTCCCAGGTACAGAGTACTGTGTCAATATCTTATACCAGGTACAAGATGTTATACCAGGGGGGGGGTACCCCTTGTACGAGGGGGCCTGACGGCTGAGTGGACAGCACTCGGGATTCGCAGGCCTAGGGGACCAGGTTCAATCCCCGGCGGAAGCGTAAACTTCCTTCACCCTGATGCCCATGTTAACCTATCAGTAAATAGGTACCTGGGAGTTAGACAGCTGCTACGGGCTGCTAAAAAAATTGATAGATTGACAGTTAAGAGGAGGGCCCAAAGAGCCAGAGCTCAACCCCCGCAATCCTAACTAGATGAGTACAACTAAGTGAGTACAGTGCACTGTGTGAACATCTTGTACTAAGTTAAGGAGGTCTGGTCGACGACCGGGCCGCGGGGACGCTAAGCCCCGGAAGCACCTCAAGGTAGGTACAGAATATTGGGTGAACATCTTGCACCAGGTACAGAGCACTGGGTGAGCATCCTGTATCAGGTACAGTGCACTGTATGAACATCTTGCACCAGGTACAGTGCACTGGGTGAGCATCCTGTATCAGGTACAGTGCACTGTATGAACATCTTGCACCAGGTACAGTGCACTGGGTGAGCATCCTGTATCAGGTACAGTGCACTGTATGAACATCTTGCACCAGGTACAGTGCACTGGGTGAGCATCCTGTATCAGGTACAGTGCACTGTATGAACATCTTGCACCAGGTACCGTGCACTGGGTGAGCATCCTGTATCAGGTACAGTGCACTGTATGAACATCTTGCACCAGGTACCGTGCACTGGGTGAGCATCCTGTATCAGGTACAGTGCACTGTATGAACATCTTGCACCAGGTACCGTGCACTGGGTGAGCATCTTGCACCAGGTACAGTGCACTGTGTGAACATCTTGTACCAGGTACAGTGCACTGTGTGAACATCCTGTATCAGGTACAGTGCATTGGGTTAGCATCCTGTATCAGGTACAGTGCACTGGGTTAGCATCCTGCATCAGGTACAGTGCACTGGGTGAGCATCCTGTATCAGGTACAGTGTACTGGGTTAGCATCCTGCATCAGGTACAGTGCACTGGGTGATCATCCTGTATCAGGTACAGTGCACTGGGTTAGCATCCTGCATCAGGTACAGTGCACTGGGTGAGCATCCTGTATCAGGTACAGTGCACTGGGTTAGCATCCTGCATCAGGTACAGTGCACTGGGTGAGCATCCTGTATCAGGTACAGTGCACTGGGTTAGCATCGTGTATCAGGTACAGTGCACTGGGTGAGCATCCTGTATCAGGTACAGTGCACTGTGTGAACATCTTGTACCGGGTACCGAGTATTGAGTCGAAATCTTGTACCAGGTAGAGAGGACGCTGTAAACACTCTGTACCTTGTACAGAGTGCATTGTGAACATCACGAACAGAACATAGAATACACTACGAGCATCTTTTTATCAAGGTAAAGTAATTATCTAAAGAAAGCACCAATATAGCACTTCGTAGGGATATGAGGATAAGGAGTTAGGATGAGACAGAGGAAAGGCAAGAAATACTAGGCTGTGGACAATTTAAGTGGAAAAGAACGATATGTAAAAACAGTATTGTCCGAAACGCTATGCGTATTAGTGGTTTTAAGTATTGTATGTACTAGCTCTATCTATAAATCCAAACATTATTCACTGCTGACGGTCCTTTGGAAGAATTGCTGTTGAGCTGATGATTCCCGCTAACACACCCTTGGCTGGCTTCATACACCAGCTGTGTATTCTCAGTGTACTCACCCAGGAGCGTGAAAGATAATATACACAGATTAGTTTGTTATCCTGGTCTTTGAGGCAGAAGCAAACCTGTTAACGGTAGTTCACTGCTATAATGAGCTTGTATACACCTGACTGTTAGATACAACGGTAGTTCACTGCTATAATGAGCTTGTATACACCTGACTGTTAGACACAACGGTAGTTCACTGCTATAATGTGCTTGTATACACCTGACTGTTAGATACAACGGTAGTTCACTGCTATAATGAGCTTGTATACACCTGACTGTTAGACACAACGGTAGTTCACTGCTATAATGAGCTTGTATACACCTGACTGTTAGACACGACGGTAGTTCACTGCTATAATGTGCTTGTATACACCTGATTGTTAGACACAAACCTATCCTATCCTAGGATAGAATTATCTATTCTAATCTATCACAATCTAACCAAGCATTATTAATTTATAGTTGGGTTATAAACAAGTATAACCCAACTTAATCTACTCTAATCTTGTCCTACCTAATCTATCATAACCTATCCTCCTGTCTAATCTAACTTAGCCTAGTCTAACCTTAACTAATATCGCCTAGACAAATCTAATGTACCCTAACCTAACCTAACTTAAGTTAACCTAACCTAAGTTAACCTAACCTAACCTAAGCTAAGCTTGCTTCCTAACCTAATCTAACCTGAGTTAACCTAAGCTAACCTAAGATAAGCTAACCTAACCCAACCTAACCTAACCTAATCTAGTCTCATTCCTTGCCATTCGTGAAAAAGTCCACCATAAGCAACTTCAGGTCACGGCTCAGCAGGTGGTATTAGCTTCAGTCACAATTTTCTTTCACGTTTTTATATGTATATATGTGTGTATTCACTCATGTGCTAGCCAGGAAAATATATATCAATCTGTATTAGCATTTGCGTGATTTGTGCAAACAGCAATACTCGTTCACTGAAAAACAGTGATCGTCATAACTATTTATTGTTGTCGCCAGCTACGGGTTGTTTATTATGCTCGTAGTGTTCGTCCTGTGAGACATAACTCGCCTGCATTATCCGGAGTGCATAATGTCCGCGATGTTGGAGACGATAAGCCATTACAGGTATTGATTCCAATGCGGCCCATTAACATTGACTCCTCCAGGAAAATGCTAGATGGTGAGGGAAGTTGGCGGTGGTCAATGGTTGGGATCACTGTGACTGAGCCCTCACTGTTGATCTTGGCGCGCGACACTGACAAGTCACGGCAGCAGGAGGCACAGACCGTTGTGCCGTTGGCATGTGTGGGCGAAACATGGAGGTGTGTCTGCTGGGAATGACTCCCATTATCTCCATGTACAGGCTCATAGGCGGGCTGCCTTACACTTGGACTTGTGGCAGAAGTAACAAAGAAACATTGACTCTTGATTCACTCCAAAAGACGAAACGAAACAAAAAGTGGACCGTATGGTCTTTCGTCTTCGGGTTTGCGATCGCGTCGTACTTCTCTTATGGCGGCCTTGGGTTCATGTCCATCTTTGACAAGACTGCCTCCACCTACACGGTCATTCTCAAGGTGGAGGACGTGGTTGGTATGTGTACCAGCATTTTACTCAGGATTCACATGCTAGGCCAAGCGCCGGCACTCATCAAGGCTCTAGGCAGGATGCAGATCCTGTGTGGCATTTACGGCTTCAAAGCTGCGCCCTTCTACAAAGAGAGGCATATTATCATTGTGATGGGTCATCATCTGATTGCCTTCTTGTGCATCTGTTATGGAAATATAACAATGGCACTGAAAGAAAAACAGTTAAAGTTTTTCAGAATTGGCAATATGTTCAAAGCCTCTGTAAAGCCGCTGGTGTTCAACCTGACTATGATGATGTACTGTCATCTGATCAACCTCCTGGCTGTAGTATACAGTAAGTTTTTTGACACAGTGGTTGACGATGTCGGTCCGTCACTATCCCATCTTAACAGCTGGACCAGTTCGTCCAAAAGGAACACAACCAAGAATCTCTCAGCATCTGTAAACCATCTTGGCATTAACGCACCGAGTCGCATCAACTTCGAGAAGGCTAAAGCTTTACTCATCGACTTATACGATTGTCACCACATGATCAAAACCTACTTCCAGTTCTTGATTGCTCTGGCGCTGCTGCATTGTACAATCAGCTCCATTGTGAGCTGTTTCCTGGCATCCCTGCAGGCTCATCGTCACTTTCCCGAGCATGTGGCCGCCTTCGGACAGCTTCTCCTGACGCTCTTCCCGCCATTCTTCCTCACCAACGTTCCCCGCGTCCTCGACATTCAGGTCTCTATTAAGTTCTCTCTCACTTAACTTTGTGTGTATAAAACACCTGGATAGCACTCCAGAGGTGTGCATTATTGTCCAATAATGTCACATATAGTGTCCAATAACGTCATGTTTAGTGTCCAATAACGTCATGTTTAGTGTCCAATAACGTCATGTTTAGTGTCCAATAACGGCACATTTAGTGTCCAATAACGTCACGATTAGTGTCCGTAACGGAACATTTAGTGTCCAATAACGACACATTTAGTGTTCAATAACGGCACATTTAGTGTCCAATAACGACACATTTAGTGTTCAATAACGGCACATTTAGTGTCCAACAACGTCACATTTAGTGTTCAATAACGTCACATTTAGTGTTCAATAACGGCACATTTAGTGTCCAACAACGTCACATTTAGTGTCCAACAACGTCACATTTAGTGTCCAACAACGTCACATTTAGTGTCCAATAACGTCACATTTAGTGTCCAACAACGTCACATTTAGTGTCCAATAACGTCACATTTAGTGTCCAATAACGTCACATTTAGTGTCCAACAACGTCACATTTAGTGTCCAATAACGTCACATTTAGTGTCCAACAACGTCACATTTAGTGTCCAATAACGTCACATTTAGTGTCCAATAACGTCACATTTAGTGTCCAATTACATCAGGCCAATAACGTGTTCAATAACGTCTACATATCCTTCCCTTCATTGGGATCCTTCATTACCCAATCAGTTTTCCTGCGATTAAAGTCCCCGAGAACTAGAAGCTTTTCTCTCACTCTACATCTGCCCGAAACGCTGCGCGTACTAGTGGCTTTACAAGAATGTAATTACTATGCTATGTATCCTCACAATCCCAATGTACCTTCTTGTATATATATAAATAAATATATAAACTTATCAGCGTTACCCCTTGTCAATGTCTTTGAGACTATTTCCATTACTCTCTTTCATTAATCATGAAAACATATTTTTCTCATAATTAAATAATAAATGTATATACGTTTCCTAAAATACATTAATAAATTTTAATTGTTGTTTAAAATATGTATAAAAGTTGCTAAAAACATTTACTTAATCTAATGTATTTTGCTGAATTAAACAAATTTAACATGCATCAAAATACCTCTTTATCATATATAGATGTGTTAAAGATATACACACACACACACACACACACATATATATATATATATATATATATATATATATATATATATATATATATATATATATATATGTCGTACCTAATAGCCAGAACGCACTTCTCAGCCTACTATTCAAGGCCCGATTTGCCTAATAAGCCAAGTTTTCATGAATTAATGTTTTTTCGTCTACCTAACCTACCTAACCTAACCTAACCTAGCTTTTTTTGGCTACCTAACCTAACCTTACCTATAAATATAGGTTAGGTTAGGTTAGGTAGGGTTGGTTAGGTTCGGTCATATATCTACGTTAATTTTAACTCCAATAAAAAAAATTGACCTCATACATAGAGAAAAGGGTTGCTTTATCATTTCATAAGAAAAAAATTATAGTAAATATATTAATTCAGGAAAACTTGGCTTATTAGGCAAATCGGGCCTTGAATAGTAGGCTGAGAAGTGAGTTCTGGCTACTAGGTACGACATATATATATATATATATATATATGTCGTACCTAGTAGCCAGAACGCACTTCTCAGCCTACTATGCAAGGCCCGATTTGCCTAATAAGCTAAGTTTTCCTGAATTAATATATTTTCTCTATTTTTTTTCTTATAAAATGATAAAGCTACCCATTTCAATATGTATGAGGACAATTTTTTTTATTGGATTTAAAATTAACGTAGATATATGACCGAACCTAACCAACCCTACCTAACCTAACCTATCTTTATAGGTTAGGTTAGGTTAGGTAGTCGAAAAACAATTAATTCATGAAAACTTGGCTTATTAGGCAAATCGGGCCTCGCATAGTAGGCTGAGAAGTGCGTTCTGGCTACTAGGTACGACATATATATATATATATATATATATGTCGTACCTAGTAGCCAGAACTCACTTTTTGGCCTTCAATGCAAGGCCCGATTTGCCTAATAAGCCAAGTTTTCCTGAATTAATATATTTTCTCTAATTTTTTTCTTATGAAATGATAAAGCTACCCATTTCATTATGTATGAGGTCAATTTTTTTTTATTGGGGTTAAAATTAACGTAGATATATGACCGAACCTAACCAACCCTACCTAACCTAACCTAACCTATCTTTATAGGTTAGGTTTGGTTAGGTAGCCGAAAACGTTAGGTTAGGTTAGGTTAGGTAGGTTAGGTAGTCGAAAAACAATTAATTCATGAAAACTTGGCTTATTAGGCAAATCGGGCCTTGCATAGTAGGCCAAAAAGTGAGTTCTGGCTACTAGGTACGACATATATATATATATATATATATATATATATATATATATATATATATATATATATATATATATATATATATATATGTCGTACCTAGTAGCCAGAACTCACTTCTCAGCCTACTATGCGAGGCCCGATTTGCCTAATAAGCCAAGTTTTACTGAATTAATATATTTTCTCTAATTTTTTTCTTATGAAATGATAAAGCTACCCATTTCATTATGTATGAGGTCAATTTTTTTTATTGGAGTTAAAATTAACGTAGATATATGACCGAACCTAACCAACCCTACCTAACCTAACCTAACCTATCTTTATAGGTTAGGTTAGGTTAGGTAGCCGAAAACGTTAGGTTAGGTTAGGTTAGGTAGGTTAGGTTGTCTAAAAAACATTAATTCATGAAAACTAGGCTTATTAGGCAAATCGGGCCATGCATAGTAGGCTGAGAAGTGAGTTCTGGCTACTAGGTACGACATATATATATATATATATATATATATATATATATATATATATATATATAATATATATATATATTATATATATTTATGATACATCATTAAATTCGAGAGTCTTTGGCAAAGGCATAGATTTTTCACTCTTAAAGTCAGAAAGGCAATATAAAAATTCCCTGAAAATTAATTTATAAAATGCACTGATCATTTTTACCATGAAATATAATAGATCTATCATGTAGTATTTGTTTGGTGTTTGGTGTACGTGTTTGTGAGTGCTGTGTGTGTCTGTGTTTGTGTGTAATTACCTAAGTGTAGTTACAGGATGAGAGCTACGCTCGTGGTGTCCCGTCTTCCCAGCACTCTTTGTCATATAACGCTTTGAAACTACTGACGGTCTTGGCCTCCACCACCTTCTCACTTAACTTGTTCCAACCGTCTACCACTTTGTTTGCAAAAGAAAACTTTTTATTGTTTTCGGCACCTTTGTTTCCTTAACTTGAATTTGTGTCCTCTTGTTGTCCTTGAATCTGTGTGTATTTTCTGTTCCGGAGGCCATTTTGTAGCATGCCTTTGCACCTTTTCCAGTTTATTTATGTTCTTCTTGAGATATGGGCACCATACCACTGTTGCATATTCCAATTTTGGTCTTACAAAAGTCAGGCATAGTTCCTTTAGTTTTCACCATCCATGTATTTAAAGGCAATTCTGAAGTTGGAGAGCGACGCATATGCTCCTCGGACAATGTCCTTTATGCGTTCCACTGGTAACTGTCCATATTATACTATCCAGAACAAGCCCCTAGATCTCATTTTTTGTTAGACATCATTACTTCCTTTCCACATAATTTATAAGCTATGTGGTCTATTTTTCCTATTCCATATTCCATAACATGATATTTGTTCACATTGAATTCCATTTGCCACATGGTGCACCAATAACTTATTTTGTCTAGGTCATTTTGAAGGGCATGTAATCGTCTCTTATCTTCCCCAGTAGCTAAGCATCATCCGCAAACATGTTCACATACTTCTATATTACTTCTGGTAGGTCGTTAATGTAAACGATACTGGTGCAAGAACTGAACCCTGTGATACTCCGCTGGTAACACTCCTCCAGTCAGATACAGTGTCTCTGATACTGTATCAGTATCATTGCACTGATACATTTGGCCCTCATTTGTCTGTCAGAAAATTGTCATCCATGTCAGAAGTCTCCCTGCCACCCCTCCAGTATGTTCCAGTTTCCAAAACAACCTCTTGTGTGGGACTATGTCAAAAATCTTTTTTAAGTTCAAATAAACACAGTCAACCCAACCACCTCTTTCCTGTAGTATCTCTGTGGCTCTATCATAAAAATGAAGTAGATTTGTTACACAGGATCTTCTGTGTAACAAATATTGTTCGAAAAAACATACTGTCTGTCCGTTATTATGTCATTACTCTCCAGGTGTTCAACCCATTTGATTTTAGCTATTTTTCTGGTGTTTTGACTACCACGCTTGTTAATCATACGGGTCTATAATATAGCGGGTCTTTTCTGCCACCATTTTTGTAGATTGGAACTATGTTTGCCTTTTTCCATTTATCTGCTAAGATTCTTGTACACAAAGATGTCTGGGAAATCAACTGAAGGGGGAATGCTCAGCTAAGATGCACATTCTCTCAGAAGGTGAAACTCCATCTGGTCCAACAGCTTTATTTTTTCCTAGCTCCTTGAGTAATTTTTCCACTTTGTCTCAAGAAACCTCTATGTACTCTCTGGTGTTCATTGGAATTGATGCTGTGTCTGGCTCTCTGAAAACCTCATTTTGCACAAACACACTTTGGACCTGTTCATTTAGTGTCTCGCACATTACTTCTTCATTCTCTATGATTCTGTTCTCCATTCTCAATTTCAAGATTTTATCCTTTCCATGCAGCTTGCTTTTCATTAATTTATAGAAAAGGCCTGGATCTGTTTTACATTTGTCTGCTACCCCGATCTTAAAGTTCCTTTCTGTCTCTCCTCACTGCTGTGAACTTGTTTCTTGCTTGCTTGTAATGCTGGTATGTTTAAGGGTTAGGCCTCTTCCTATATTTTAGCCATTTTTCTTGTCTTTTCCTCTCTGGCCTTCTTACAATTACTGTTGAATCCTTGATGTTTTCAAGTTC